TACTGCCTGCTATCGAGCCCACCTAGTGCCCAGCAGTCCCCTCCTGCCCAGCAGAAAGCCTGGCTGCAATTCCCACTTTATGGCCTCTGCCAAATGAAGCACAAACTTAACTACATCACCCCCCTGACAGGACAGGGAGGGGCTGGAGTGGAACGCTGGGTGGCTTCAGCCCCTAATCTAATCACTGGCATGGGTCATTTCAATTCCGGAGTGTGCTGGGGGCGTGGCAGCTCCCAAAAGCCTCCATGCTGGCGCTCAGCTAATTGCAAATCTCTTACTGTCTCCCAGGTGAATAACTCAGGACTAAGAGCTTCTGGTTGCTGAGATGGAGTGTGAGCTGGGGAACTGGACAGGGCAACACCTGAGATGGGCCCTGGGGCACAGATGGGGTTGCAGGGAGGGAAGCACAGCCTTCCTGGAGGGGACACAGGGACTGTTGTCCCTGCCCTGGGGTGACCACCTACCATCTGGGAACTGGTCTTAAAACCCAAGACCTAGAAACAGACTCACAGACATAGAGATCAGACTTGTGGTTGCCAAGGGGGAGGGGGAGAAGGGGGGCGGGAGAGGGATGCACTGGGAGTTTTGGGGTTGGCAGATGCAAACTATTACATTTACAGTGGATAAACAACAAGGTCCTACTGTAGAGCACAGGGAACTATATCCAAGCTCCTGGGATAAATCATAATGGAAAAGAATATTAAAACAAAGAAAGTCTATATATGTATAACTGAGTCACTTTGCTGTACAGCGGAGATTGGTACAACATTGTAAATCAACTATACTTCGATTTAAAAAAAAAAGAAAGAAAGAAAGAAAAAAGAAAAAAAAGGAAAACCCAAGACCTGAAGTTTTCTGGAACCTCAGAGCCACAGGATAGGGCAAAAATTTAAGTTCCACCCCTTCCTACTAACCTTGCCTTTAGATATATAATTAGATCCCTGAGGAGTGAGAAGGCCCGGGAAGCCTCGGGGCTTTAGCGAGGGGAGAGCTAATGCCTTCGGGCAGCTTCAGGTTGGCTGCCTGCAGGGCGGCTCTTCGGTTCGTTTATGGGTCTGGCCCATAGAGGCTTAAAGCTGGACCCCGGGAGACTGGCTGAGTCATGGAGATGTAAGAGGCGAGGGGCTCAGCATCCTTAACCACACAGCTCCTCTCCTCTAGGACAACTGGAGAAGGAGGTGGGGATGTCTTGGGAGGAAAGTGAGACCTCTGCCATCGAATTATTGGCCATCCAACAGGCTGCAGAGACTGTGGGAGATTGTGGCAGCAGCCCTTGGAAGTTTTTCTGGGTGTAATGACAAATAGAGGGCTGCCTGTGCAGCCAGGGGCTGTGCGTAACTAACTCTTTATTCTAGATGTCCGTGAAGTCCCAGAGCTGTGATTTCTTGGTGAGTGCTGAAACTACCTGAGATTCTGGGAAACAGCAGACGGTAGGAGCATTCACAGCTGGGAAAATCCCACTTTTGCTCTGTTTCTCAGTTGCCTTGCTCTATGAAATGGGAATCATGAAAGGTATAAACACTTGGAGAGGCTGAGCCAATGCTGTTCTGTAAGGAAGGGCTGCTGGTGCCCTATCTTCGTCCCACTGCAGAGGGACACTATTCCAGGAGGAGGGCTCTAAGTGCCATTCGCTAATGATAGCTTTGCTTCAGGCCCTGACCCAGGGCTTAGAATGAGTCCCTGGCTGCCATGTTGACATCAGGGCCACTTGGCACTTGGACAGAGGAGGTCCACACACTGGGGCCTGGTTCAGCAGCCAGGCTTCACTCCTGAACGCCTGCTGACATAGAGAGGCTGGGAGAGATTCCCTAGGGAGAAAGCCAAGGTGAGCTGCATGGGAAGTGAAATGGGAAGTCCCTTGGGCAGCACCCAACCCCACCCCTCGCCCGGCCTGCAGCCCAAGTCCCTGACAAGGAGGCATATGGTGGCTTCAGCCCTTGGCCTTTGGATTCTGGAATAAAGGCCCTTCTGGGGCATCCAGTCCATAAATGGGTTCTGATAGAGGTAGCTGGAAGAGGACCTCACAGCAAAGACTAAAGAATGGAATCCGTCTGTTGATAGCAGGCAGGTGTTTTTATTTCTCAATATATGATTTACTTTTCCAAGTACTCTTAAATACATTGCTTCATTCTGAGCCTCAAAATTCTGTGATATGGGTAGAATAAGTATAAGCAGCCCCGACGTCAAATAGTAAGCCGAAGCTCTGAGAGGTCAGTCTCAAGGTCCCCTGGCTATGTAGTGATGGAGCCAGGAGCAAAGTCAGGTGCTTTGTCCAAGACAGGGGTGGAAAGGAAGGAGACTGTAGTGGGGACCTCACCGCAGATCTTTTCCTTTTCTAATAACCGAGACAGTGAAGAAAGATTTGGGATCAATTTAGAGGCTAACTGAGCAGGTCGAGGCAGAGGAGACCAGGAGCAGGAAGTAGGAAGCGAGGAGGGAAACAGGTGGACGTTTGCATGGACACTTCCTGTTCACAAACTTCTTACGCTCCTCATTTCATTAACAGCAGCAGCGGAATTTCATGGACAATTGGCGTTGAGCATTAACTGGGAGGTAATGAGAGAGGGAGGATGCGGTAAAGACTGTTTGAATTTAAATTCTTTTCCTTTGGGGGCATGGGGGGGCAGATATTTTTAAAGGCAATTTTAGTGCTGGAAAAAGTTCCTAGCAAACAGCAGTCCTCTGTAAGCAGTGTTAGGAGTAATGCCTTACCCTCAGCCCATGGTGTTCTTCTACCCACCAAATTCTGATGGTTGCCCTGAGTGAGGGATGCTGAGGGACTGGGTGTCTGACCCTGGGCAGATTCAGTCCCTCAGACTTGGGGAAACACACTGGTAGATGGTAGAAATGTGTCTATCATCAGCCATGAGCTAGAATGAGTTTCTCTGCAATAGTTATGGCAGAATCACCATGAAAAAAACTCTGTATGGACCTGGGCAGAGATGAGGATGACCTAGAAATAGAAAACAAGATTTCTGTTTTAGGAGTGTGCGATCTATTTGACAAGTGATACACACACACACAGAGCCAGAGCCACGAAACATTCAAGGGGAGAAGGATAGGAGATAATGTAAGTCTGAAGTTAGAGGAGAGGGGACAGAGTCATAGGGTGATCAGGTGGTAAGGGTGGGGGAGGAAGGCTGTTTTTTGAGCCAGGTCTTAGACAGGGACCTACAGATTGGTGAAACAGAAGAAGACTGTGCCAACTAGAAATAGAGGCTTAGATGGAAATGAACCCCTTCCTGAGCAGGATGGTAGGCAGGCTGGCTTGGCTAGATTGAAGGTTCTGTAATAGAAAGCAATGAGAAATGAAGAAAGTTAAATATAAGGGGAGGGAAACTTTGTGGAAGGCGTGAATTCTGATCTTAGGATTCAGGTTATGAGGCCACAGGAACTGCCATAAGATAGGATAATCAGTACAGAATTGGCCACTGAGGAGAGTGAACCAGCAGTTGATTAGTTACCCAAGTGCAAGGTGATCAGGGCTCTTCTATCTGGACAGATGGCTGTGGGCACAGATGGGGAGCTAAGGAGCCATCGGGACTCTGATGGCTAATTTTCTGTGTCAATCTGGCTGGGCCACAGATATTTGTTCAAACATTATTCTTGGTGTTTCTGTGAAGGTATCTCTTAAATGTTTAAAGTCTTTAAACCAGTAGACTTTGAGTAAAACAGATTGTCCTCCAGAACGTGGGTGGGCTTCATCCAATCATTTGAAGGCCCTAATAGAAAAAGACCAACCTCTCCAGAAGAGAAAATCCAGCCAGCAGACCGCCTATGAACATAAACTGCAATTCCTTCCTGAGTCTCTAGCCTGCCAGAATACCCTACAGATTATGGATTTGCCAAGCCTCCACAATCATGTGAGTGTTATGGGCTGAACTGTGTCCCCCCAGAATTCATATGTTGAAGTCCTAACCCCCAATACGTCACAGTGGGACTGTATTTAGAAACAGGGCCTTTAAAGAAGTAGTTAGGGTTACATGAGTTCATAAGGTGGGCCCTTATGTAAGTGTGACTAGTGTCCTTAGAAGAAGAGGAAATTTAGACACATATGTGTCCAGAAGAGAACCACAGGAAGAAGGCAGCTATCTACAAGCCAGGGAGAGAGGCCTCAGAAGAAACCAACCTTACCAACACCTTGATCTTGGACTTCCAGCCTGCAGAGCTATGAGAGAATCAATCTCTGTTTAAGCCACCCAGTCTGTGGTATTTTGTTATGGCAGCCAGAGCAGACTAATACAAGGATAGCAGATTATAATAAACTCCTTGAACCCAAGGGCCATGCATTAAGCCTATCCCCCAGCTCAGTGCCTTACACATGGTGCGTGTTGATGAAATGTTGTGCTAGATCTGGATCCCCTCCAATAGGAATGCACTGCTGAGAAGGCACAGGGGAAGATAGACTCACCTGGGATGAAGGGAACAAGAGCTCCAGGATATAGATAAGGTGGGAACTTTGTGTTCTGGTTGGAGCAATGTTCCTTAGGGATCAAGTCAAGTGAAGAATGATCTGAAACTGACTTATTTTGTACTCTCTGGTGTGCCTAACACAAGGCCTAGGACTTAATCAACACTCAATACAAGTTTTGTTGAACGACCGACTGAATAAGTGACCAAGACAGGACTGGGAGATGGAGTGCTCTTACACCTTTTAAAAAACCATTTAAACACACACGTATGCTTGCATGTGCTAGAAATTTTCTGAAAGAGGTTGCTAACGGTGGTTACTTCTGGGGAGTGAACTGGGTAAGAGGCCAGGATTACTTTTCACTGGATACCTCGTACTGTTTATGCATTTTCATCATGAATGCATTACTCCTGGGTCATTCAATAGCTAATTCGATGATGTGCATCCCTGGGCTGAATGAAAAGAGGCAACGGGGGCTGGAGAACATTTTACCCCATCATTTGTCCCCTTCCAATATCCCCACAAAAACTTTTCAGCCTTCCCCAAGTGCCATGCAAACACATTGATGGAGACCAGCAAGCTTGGGTCTTCATAAGCCACTCCACAGCACCCAGAGGGAACACAGGGTGATGGTGTAGAACCCCAGCACAACAAGATAGCTTTGGAAGAGCAATCGGTCAAAGCGCTCCAGGAGGGCCAGCCACCCAGCCTCCTGTCGGTCTGCCTGGTCCTGGGTCTGGAAGTAGCTGCTGATACGTTGAAGCTGGGACCAGACTTCCCTCAGGGTCCATGGCTGGGCCTGGTGCTCCTGACAGATGGGGGACTCTACATGAGAGGAAGACACTCTAGGTGAGCCAGGGGCTACCAAGGCTCCCCCAGCCTTCCCATTGAAGCCGATGGCCTCAACCTTCAAGAAAGGTGGTGGGCAAAACTGGGCAGTGGGTTAGTTAGGATTGGGGACCCTCTCCCTACCTGCTGAGGGGAGGAAAGACTGTGCTGAAGGAACCCCTGGAGAACACAGCAAGTAGCGTGTTTGTGTAAGTAGGGTGTCGAGGCTACATCTATCCGGGAGATTTTTCTGAGCTAGCAGCCAGCCCACATTGACTTAGAGCTTCAGGGGCTGGAATGGTTCTTTTTTTTTAATTGAGGTATAATTGACATATTATATTAGTTTCAAGCGTACAACATAATGATTCAATGTTTGTATACACTGTGAAATGATCACCACAATAAGCCTAGGTAACATCCATCACCACACAGTTACAAATTTTTGTTCTTGTGATGAGAACTTTTGGAATGTACTCTCTCGGCAACTTTCAAGGATACAGTGAAAATATGGATTGCTTCATGACTTTGCATATCATCCTTGCACAGGGGCCATGCTAACCTCTGTATCATTCCAGTGTATGTGTTGCCAAAGGGAACACTGGGATGATTTGTATACTTTTGCACATTAAGCGATCAGATCCCACATGTATACAAACTGTGTGTGTGTGTGTGTGTGTGTGTGTGTGTGCGCGCGCGCGTGCACATGCACGCACTCTGCTATTCTGGAGTCAATGGCTCCAAACTGGAAAATAAAACAAGCTAAGGGGACTGAGGCCCTGATCTCTAGGCTGACATGTGGCTTCCTGGCAAGCCAGCAGGAGACGGTCTTCAGTCTCCAGGGAGGTAATGTAATATGCAGGGCAGAGGTTAAGAAGCAGGTGTTTCCATTTTTTCATACAGCTGACTCAAGACGGTCTGGTACTCCACCCATGGGAACTAAGGCTGAGGGTGGTAAAGCAGAACCAGGCAGGGACATCAAGACTTCTCACAAACCTGTTACCCCAGTGAGCTGGGCCCAGGGATCCATTCTAGACCCTTCCGCATCGGTGTCCCCTCGAAGGCACAAGAAGGTCCACTCCCGCCGGCTGCACTGCTCATCATGGAGGAATTTGACCAACAGGATGGACTTGGATAAGCTGAGGACCAAGAAAGCCATGCAGACCGTGAAGAAGACCCCTGAGGGAAGGAGCCAATGGAGGTGGAGTTAGCAGGGGTCCCTGGGCCTCTTCCTTCCCCATCTGAAAGGCAACATCAGATCTTGGACAGAAGTAATGCAAGACAGGTACCTAGCGACCCCGGAGCTGCTTACCAATTAGAGGGGTGGTCACTGCGCTCTTCGGCACCTCATCAGATATGTTAAGCCTGAAGACGGTGTAGCCCACCAGCACGCTGGTCTTGAACACAATCCTGGCGTGGCAGGTGGGCGGGATATAGAAGCTCCCCAGGTCCACGAGCATTAGGAAGATGCTGGGAATCAGCAGGCTCACAACATAGACCAGTGGGCGCCTGCGAATCACCACCTGGACAGGGATGAGGAATCTGTTGCCAAGAGGGTCTAAGCCAATGGACAAATGTTTGGCCAAAGAACACTTAGCCAAGAACACTTTCTGCCATCCCAACATTTCTGCATAATATGAAAAGTCTATGTAGTTTAGAATAGGAGATTATCTTGTGGTTTAGAAAATAGAAAAAAATCCTTTAAGCTTTTACATAGAACTAATATTAATATTATTAACCATTATAAGAAGAAGCTACCATTTATTTAGCGCTTGCTCTGTGCCAGGCACTGGAATAAGTGTTTCATATGATTTCTCTTATTTAATCCTCACAACAGCTCTGAGGGCTGCTCTGAGGGCTGGGTATTATTTTTTTTTTTTTTAACGATTTTATTGGAGTATAATTGCTTTACAATGGTGTGTTAGTTTCTGCTTTATAACGAAGTGAATCAGTTATACATATACATATATCCCCATATCTCTTCCCTCTTGCGTCTCCCCCCCTCCCACCCTCCCTATCCCACCCTTCTAGCTGGCCACATAGCACCGAGCTGATCTCCCTGTGCTATGCGACTGCTTCTCACTAGCCATCTATTTTACATCTGGTAGTGTATATATGTCCATATATACACTACCACTCTCTCACAGGGCTGGGTATTATTATATCCATTTTACAAACCGAGAAACTGAGGTTCCTAGAGATTAAATTGCTTCTCCAAATTCACATAACTGGTGAGTGAGAAACTGTTTTAAAACCAGGTCTTACACCATAATCTTTCTTTTTAAACCATTTAGTTTGCAATATATTGTATTGGTTTTGGTTTAGTCTCTCTTCTTACCTGGGATGCAAACACCTTAGTACCTGTGTATCTGTCAGAGTCTTGTTAGGAACAAAGAGCACAGTTAAACTAGGAAAGTTGAGGAGGGCTTGACAAGGTGTGGACAGGACATAGAGAAACCACAAGGAAGAGGACAGTGCCCCAGGGATTCGGGGGACTGCGTCAGCTCTTCCTACCCTTAGGCCTGAAGGGACCAAAGACCGGGAATGTGGTTGGAACTTGAGGGGACAGAAAGCTGGTTGGACTTGTGGCTTCCTCGTAGGAGCACAGCCAGCTGGCGGAGACACCGCGGGGTGGGGAGAAATGGAGAGATAAATGCCCCACTGACTCTCCGCCTCCTTCCAATCTCCTGCCACTGCCTCCCCTGCCCGCTACTGGCCAAACATGATGAGGAGTCCCAACTCTACAGGCCGTAGACCAGCCTCCAGGAGCAAAAGTAGACGTGAGGTGGGGACAACTGCAGATACCCAGCAGGGCCTGCAGCACGGCTGGGCAGGGAGCTGCTGAGCAGGTTTTTTAGCTGGGAATTTAAGACTCATAAAATTACAATGATTGCTGTTGCCATTTTGTTATACCTAGCTTCTCTGGGATGGGAATAGGAGATGTCTGTAATTAACCCAAAATCTATTCTCATCCTTCCTGGAGAGAAACTATGATATGACAGGGCTGTTTCCCCCATCAGACACTTACTGCTTTGCAATGACCGTTTCAGGGTGAAAATGGCATTTTTTAATCCTTCATGGGGCCAGAAATAATACCTATCTTACAGTGGGTGTTCGATAAATGTTTACTGAACAAATGAATGTTCTGGGCCATGTTGCTGTTAGATTTGGAAAAAAATAATGTCTGAAATCTCCCATTTCTCTGATTCACCAAACAGCTGAACGATTTCTACGTGTCAGTTAGTGTGCTAGATACTTTTTCACATGGGATGTGATTTATTTACTCTTCACTGTCAGTTTGTTGGGAGGTAATAGAGCATCCCCACTTTATAGATCTTTAAAAATAAAGCTCAACCCCCTAAGTAAGCTGAGTAAGTGGCAGAGCTGGGATGTGCTCCCACATCTTCTGGTTCCAAGCACTGTGCTCTTTCCCATACAGCCTACTCTTGGTCTGATCAGACCTCTGAGCTGAGTTCAGGGTCTTCTCTCTCACCTCTGCCTCCCTCTCTGGACGAGGATCACATAGAGGGAGCCAGGTCAGAGACCAGGGAAAGAGCAGAAGGTGGTGGGCGAAGAGCCTGGCTGGGTGAGACCAGATGTCACCTTGCTGGTGAGAGCAGGGCCTCCCCAGCCTTTGGGTCCTGAAGCGTGTCCTGACTCAGGGGAGTTCTGCAGACCAGAGCCATTCAGCGTATTGTAGTCGGGCTATTGTCTTTCACATGAGACATAACTGGCTGCAAATATCTAAACCAGAGTGACACTCACTGCTTTGCAATCATTTGGTTAAAATACATTTTTACCCAAGTGCAGTCAACAAGGAAAACCATGACCTGTCATCAACCTGCACCTTTCTACTCCCTTCGTTGTGCTGTGACAGACATAGCCGTGTTTGGAGGCACAGGGGGAAGGGAGTCAAGGCGCCAGAGTCCACAGGGGCTCTTGTTTTGTGAGCCCCACCTGGGCTGTTGGTGATCTAGCCATATGGGGAGATGGGGGCGACCAAGCCTGCTGTCTCTGGAGGGTAGAAGTGGGAAGACCCCCAGAGACTTCGTGGTGGATGTTACATAAAGGAGATGAAAGGAATAAGAATACCACCCTAAAGAAAAGTACCAGTAGGCATGTTGGTTAAGCAGAAAGAGCCCAGACTTAGAGTCAAAGGAACAGCAGAGTTCCTAAGCTTCTCAATTTGATGTGCTGGTTCAAGTGATTCTGGATGGTATCGAACCTCTCCTTGCCTTGATTTTTCCCTTTTTAAAAAAGCAGTTTACTTTTGCCTTGCCAAGCATCTTGGGTACAATTGAGATTAGCTGTTGTACTCTTTAAATAAAGTTCCCGTGTAAACAGCGCATATGCTGAGATGACTCTTCTCCACCCAGAGGCTGACGCAGAGAGTGGATGGAAATCTGGGACGGAACCAAGCATGGGCAGTGTGGCTCCTTAGGGTCCCTGGTTCCTAGGAAAGTGAAGTTTCACCAAACCTCGTGTTCTCCAAGGTGCCAGGGGAGAGGCGTGGCAAGAGCTAAGAGGCTGAGAGGCACGCCAGCTTCATGCAGTCACAAGGAGCCCGGCGCTGAGATGGGCCCATGCTTGGCTTTGTGCCATTTTGAGATTCTCAATAATTTTTAAGCAAGGGACCCTGCATTTTCACTTTGCAGGAGGCCCCAAAAAGTATGTAGCCTGTCCTGTTGTGACGATACTCCTCACTGGCTATCAACAATAGCTGAAAGTAAACAGGTAGGTACAAGGGTGGACGATTAGCTTGGGCTGTGACATAAAGCAGAAAGCTCTATGTCTGTTTGGCTTGTAAAATCGTGAAACGAGACAGACCCTCCAGAACTACCTTAGCCGTTTTTCTGCCTTTTAGCAAGGATGTTCCAATTCCTAAAACAGATCAAATAGTTCCTACAGTTTTGGTTTTCTTCAAGCACAAAGGACCCACCTTTTACTTTAAGTTGATCTGGGGGCAATGTTACCTATGGACTAGACTAATTTTCTCTACAAGCCCAGTACAGCCTAAAGAAACTCTAATTTTATCCCACAGTTTTCAGAAATGTTTTGTTTTCATGATCTCCTTTGATGCTCAAAGCCCTCTGTCCCCCCGCTCAAGAAACATGAATTGAGCATGAAGAGAGTATCAGGCACTAACCTAAATGATAGAGTTAGAACTGGTGACAGGACAGGTCTCTACTCTTGCCCCGCAAACCCCCAACCCATGTCTTATGGGATCAGGAACCAGATTCTGATGGTTAGATATTTCACAAGTCTGCAGATCGAAGTTTGCCCCAGAATGGACCATACCCAGGGTCTATACTTGATTTGATGACAAGATTTGGGACTTTCTGAGTTTATGTTTAGGTGATATTCTGGTCTTAGAATCAGTACTGGAATGGGTTAAGACATTTGGGGATGTTGGGATAGGGCGTCTATATTTTGCACATGGGACAGACATGAATTTGGGGGAGTCAGAGGGTGGCAGATGGTACTGGGTTGAATAATGCCCCCCAAAATTCGTGTCCTTCCAGAAACTCAGGATATGACCTTATTTGGAAATGGGATCATTGCAGATGAAATTAGTTAAGGTGAGGTCATATGGAATAGGGTTGGCCCTTAACCCAATATGACTGATGTCCTTGTAAGAAGAAGAAAAAATGGATATCCTTTGTATCCATTCAAAGGATAATGCCATGTAAGGATGGAGGCAGGCATTGGAGTGATATGTCTACAAGCCAAGGAAAGCCAAAGGTTGCTAGCAACCACCAAAAGCTAAGGTAGAGGCATGGAGCAGTCTCTCCCTCAGAGTGCCCAGAAGGAACCAACCCTGCCAACACGTTGATGTCAGATTTCTGACCTCCAGAGCTGTGAGAGAAGAAATTTCTATTGTTTTAAAGTGGTACTTTGTTATAGCAGCTCTAAGAAACTAATACAGGCGACTTGGCCGGTAACACACAGTGGAAGGATGCCACAGACTGGACTGGAATATTACTGCTTGTCTTTAGTTGTGTGTCACCATCATATAGGATTAGGGACATAGTTTCTGGAGTCAAGTCCAGGCTCCACCAGTCACCCTATAACCTTGGTTAAGATACTTAACTTCTCTGCACCCCAATTCAAGCACTTGTAAAAATGTGGATCCTTAGAGGCTGCATCTCATAGAGATGTGAGGGTTACAGTACGACCTCTTAAAACAGTGCCTGGTTTGGAGTTAGTGCTTGGTTTTGTGGTTACTGTTATCATGTCTCCCTGGGCAGATTTTGAGGCCTGTGATAGGAACCAAGAGACTTGTTTTATTCATGGTTGTGTCCTCAGTGCTCAGCATTGAGCTTGGTGCATGATAAGAACACAAAAGGTGTTCATTGAGCTGTATTAGAGTCTGTTAATAATGCTTCTTTTAGCTCCAGTAGGGTGGGAGAGTGGAGCGAGCCCAACGGGGGGCTCTCATCTTAAGGTCAGTGTGCTGAGGGCTGCCTCTCTGCAGGTCATGTCAGGCAGTGACCCCTGTATGCCAGGGGACGGTATGTCACCAGCCCAGTGAGACGCCACTCTCTGCAGAACTGCCCCTACCTAGAGCCCGTCATTTCTAATGGACTAAAGGAGCTGGTGCCTTTAAATTCCACAGAAGGGGAAGAAACAGCACTTTGGTTTCAGTCCGTATTCTCCATTAGACACCCTTCAGGTGTTAGCAGTATTATGCCACAATTTCATCATCCATTAAAGCCAGGTAATAATAAGTACACAAAGGTATTTGGAGCCTATCGATGTTAATGAAAGAGATCAATCTAATTCAGAATGTGTATGTGGAGAGCTCCTTGGAGATGGAATAGGCCCCAAGGTTAGCCTCTAATTGCCTCCTTGATGGTAGACCTCACCAGTACTCAATTTTGCATGACCATCTTTATGACATAGTTGGAATTTTGACGCCCAGACTCATGCTTCATACAGAAGCCCATTCTCCTCCTCTCCCAAGCCCCTCCTAACATTCCCAATTCAGAAAGAATGGGAAAGTTGCGGCCATTTAAGTAAGATCCTTGCACAAGAGTGAGAGTTTCTTGGAACTAGACCATGGGTCGGGTTGGATTAGCAGAGAGTCCGTGATTCCAGGGTTACTTGAGTGACCCTGGAAGGGTTTCTAGGGGTCTAAATTCTCTCTATCTCTATCTCTCTATCTATCTATCTATCATCTATCTATATATCTGTGTGTGTGTGTGTGTGTGTCTCTCTCCTCTCTTTATCTCTGTCTCTGGAGTGACCTAATAGAGCTTAGAAGGATCCTCTATCAAGTTTCTGAGCTGCATTCAAAGGATATCTCAATGAAATTAATCTACCCTACTCTAGAAAGGAAAATTACATCTGAAAGTGAGGGTAAACAAGGCACCTTTCTTTCCCAGATGCCCCTCTGCATTTTTCTAGGAGTCCCCTGTGGGCCTCCCAATTCTGGCCGCATGAACATTTAGTCAGTGAGAGGACATCTGTGGTCCGGCTCACTTTAGTTCCCACGGTCCGCCTTTTTCTATCCAACGTGAGTTCTCAAATTTTATTTCTACCGCCTCTCACTTCTACCCTCATTCTTTAACAAACAAAAAAGAAACAAAACACTACCATATAGAAATCAAATGTTCACCCTGCTCTTTCTGGGAACCAGCACCTCTGGCAATGTGTTGGAGGAAACCTCCCCTCCTATGGCTGCTGGATCGGGTGCCAGGCTGCACACAGACATCCTCGTAGGCAGAGATGCCTGTGCTCTGGGCCCCCTGTGGAATGCAGCCTGACCCAAAGTGTCACCGGTGCCCTCTGATCAACAATACATGTCCTAGAGCTGCAGACAGGATTGCACATTAGCCAGAACTAATGGGGCACCCGGAGCATTTGGTTCAGTATCAATGGCAGCATGTACATCAGGCCCAGGTTGATGACGTACTTAGAATAGATCTTTGTTCCTCCTGCCTGCCCCACCTGTTCCCTACCCGCTGCTGGGTAGCCTGGGCTTGGACATAGGAGGTGATTAGATTAAGAGGGAGTTGGCCCTTTGCTGTCAGGACCCTGGCAGGCCCACTGTTGGCATGGAACTGGGCTCTGAATTTCACATTATTGGCTAAAGGTCATTGAAGGACACCAGGGTGACTTGATTGCTAAATTCAGAGTAGGATGTCTGGCACGGAGTAGGAGAACATGGGCCGACACGGTGCACATAGTGGGAATAGGGAGTCAGGGAGGCTGAACGAGGTCGAGGGGGACAAAGAACTGAACTGGAGAGTCATTCAATCTACTTTGTCTTCCAAAGTTGCAGGAATGCCCCTGAGTCTGACTCCCTGCCTTACCAAACACGATCTGTGGCTCTTCTCAGGATTCTTTCCCTACTCTGTTCCAGAGGGCCAGGGTGGAAGGCAGCCTGCTAGATAACCAACCTTAACCTCCAGGGCAAAGGTCCCCAGGGAGAAGTTCCAAGAGCATGAAATCTCGCACCGATGTCCCCTCCAGCCCCACTCAATGTAAACACTGAATGGAAAAGAAGGGTGGCAGTGAAGACAACAAACGAATGGGACCTTGGTCCCCGAGATCCAGGGAGGAGATCGTCTTCTCCCTTTAACAATCTTTTACGCTTCTGTTCATCATATTTACATGGAGCTAGGACATAGAAAACCTCTTGCCAGGACTTCCCTGGTGGCACAGTGGTTAAGAATCCACCTGCCAATGCAGGGGACACGGGTTTGAGCCCTGGTCCGGGAAGATCCCACGTGTTGCGGAGCAACTAAGCCCGTGCACGAGCCACAACTACTGAGCCCACGTGCCATAACTACTGAAGCCCGCACACCTAGAGCCCGTGCTCCACAACAAGAGAAGCCACCGCAACGAGAAGCCCACGTGCAGCAGCAAAGAGTAGCCCTGACTCGATGCAACTATAGAAGAGCCTGCGCACAGCAACGAAGAACCAACACAGCCAAAAATAAACAAACAAATAAATAAATAAAGTAAAAAAAGAAAACTTCTTGCCACTGTTGAGAAGACAATTAATATTTAGGGTAAAGAGTGACATGTAACTACAAATAATGGCTGCTCTATGGAGAGAGTGCGTTTGTGTGCGCGGGAACACACACTCCTGTTTACCTGCCCCGTCTCCCATCTTTGTTTGTCTCCTCCGTGCAGTGTAGGTAATGGTGTGTGCAGCGTTCTCCAGAGTGCTTGATAGGTGACTGTGTTCCACCTTGCATGTGCTACTCCCTCACATTTCCCTTTAATGATCTCCATTATTCGGGCTGCATTAATAATGTTTGTGGGCTGATATCTTTAAAATTAATGAGGTGTTTACTCTTAGCCAAGAAACTCATTGAAATTAAAAAAGCTTTCTTTTTCCCCTCCCTTTCTCTTGGAAAAAAAGTGGACAAACAAGCCATGATGCAAGCTTTGATAAAAACCAAGCAGAATAGGCAAGAGCCCAAGCCCTACCGCAAAGAAGGTATGAATTGGGATTAGCTGGTGCCTGGAGTTATACATTAGTCATGTTCAAATCACAGCTGTGTCTAAGAGGCCTTGATTTAACAAGAGCTTTGCTAGAAAGCTGCATACCACACCTTTTAACCAATGGAGGACTTCCATGCCCTCAATAATCGCTTATTTCATCCCCACCACTCGCCTTAGCATATGATCATCCATTGTAACCGTAGCACCTTAGTCTAGTCTGACTTTTCCTTCTTATTCAAAAGGTTTGTTTCCAGGAGACTTCATCTGTGTGAATTCATCTGTGCAATCCTGACCTGTCTGTAGTCTCTACTTTTCAATCAGATTACCTGTCATGAAAGACCCTCCCACTGCCCCCAGCTCCCACCACCAGCTGACTTTGTGCAGAAAAGCAGGGCTGAATACCAATGACAAGTCTGCCGGCTGCAGAAACTTGCTGCAAAGTATCAGGCTTCACTGTCCTGCTCCCAACTGCCTCCCAGGTGTCTGCTGGACAAATTTCCCCAGGAACAGTGCAGCCAAGGACATTCCCGGTGACACATCTGAGAAGTTTGGGTTCTTATCACGTCGTTCTAGAGTAGTTGTTCTCTCTGATCTGGAAACCACCAGTGGTCTCTGTGGATCCTGCAGGTGATTTGTTAGCTAATACCTCAAGATACTCAAGTTAATAATACGATAATTTTATGCACTTGAGTCTGGGATTAATTAATAATTTACTCAATTGCAAACAGGACATTAATGTTGAAGAGACACTCTTCTCCCAATTTTTTGTTGCTGTTGTTGTGGGGTATTTTTTCTCTCTCTCTCAGTAGCAATTAAAAGTGAGGATGTTACATGTATTGAAAGCCTTGGAGATTCCTGCTGTAGGGGCTGGTTCAGGTCTCTGTCTGAAAACCATTCTCTTTATATTCACATATGGAATAGCTACAGCAGGAGTCCAGGATCTACGGCTGAATCTCTCGTCTCTGAAATGCCAAAATGCAAGTGGATGATGGAACCATTGGAATCTCCTGTACTTAGGTGGTAATGAATGAGAAGATGCAGGAGAGAGACTCCTCAGCCCAATAGAGAAGGTGAAAGACTGCAGAGAAGTGGGCAACAGGGACAGGAAGGGGGAGGACTTACATTAAACTGAATCTGTGCAAAATCTCCAGCGCTGCTCTGCAGGATGTTGTATGTTGAGGACACAGAAAGAAGTTCCCACTCACCATCATTCAAAAATGCTTTTTGGTCATGTGTAATGTCTTCTCTACTTCTCAGGAAGGCCAGGTCTACATCTTCCACTGAAAACAACAGAAACACTTGACTTCCCATGGAGAGAGGCACCAATATTAACCCACTTTTCCAACTCACAATTCAAATCCTTCCTTTTTACTCTTGTCCCCACATGGACAATCTTATGGAGATGGGGTTCAATATACCATTTTGAATTAGGGGTAGGGATGGGGGATAAAAACTTTCAGGTCATGAAAAAAAGCAGCTATGAACTGAGGGTTTGTACTCCATTGTCGATAGAATGAGACTTCTGTAACGTTCTCAATGGCAGTAGAGGCCTAATATTGTATTTTCAAACCAACAGCAGCAAAGGGCAATATCTCTGGGCACAATACTGTACTTAGTCTGAATTACAGCAGGAGCCAAATAACTACAAGAAGAGATTTAGCTTTATAAAAAGTCAATTATGTGCAAGAATAAAATAGACCTGAGGGACAGCGTAATGTAATCATTTCACCTATGTGTGCCAACCCAGCACAAGTGTGTTTGCCCACTAGCAGGCTACACCTCTCATGGCTTACCTGTGTGCAGAATGCTATTGAAGGTTAGGCTGCAGTTCTGGATATCGAATGGAAAAGCGTATGTCTCTAAACTGCATGCAGAGACCAGTTGGATGGGCTTAGAGTGCTTAATGGTCCCAGATGAGTTCACGTAAACATAGGGAAGATCAGGTGATCTTTCAAGGTCCACACTATATGAAACACAAAAGATCTTTGTTACAGAAAGGGCTTTAGTCATTCCAATACATAAGCAGAACTGATTATGAGATGATAGTGACCGTAACACCCAAGACTAGCCTAGAAGTGCAAAGACAGAATCACACTTTACATGAGATAGCCACCCTGGCAAAGGTGGGTTCAGCAATGACAGCCTTGTAAGTCAACTCACTGGAGATCAGCTCGGTGACTGCCTGGAGGGGTGGGATAGGGAGGGTGGGAGGGAGGGAGACGCAAGAGGGAAGAGATATGGGAACATATGTATATGTATAGCTGATTCACTTTGTTATAAAGCAGAAACTAACACACCATTGTAAAGCAATTATACTCCAATAAAGATGTAAAAAAAAGAAAAAAAAACACAGACATAGGACTTCCCTGGTGGTGCAGTGGTTAAGAATCCACCTGCCAACGCAGGGCACATGAGTTCGAGCTCTGGTCTGGGAAGATCCCACATACCGCGGAGCGACTAAGCCCGTGCGCCACAACTACTGAGCCTGCGTGCCACAACTACGGAAGCCCGCATGCCTAGAGCCCGTGCTCTGCAACAAGAGAAGCCACTGCAATGAGAGAAGCTCACGCACCGCAACGAAGAGTAGCCCCCGCTCCCCTCAACTAGAGAAAGCCCACGCGCAACAACAAAGACCCAATGCAGCCAAAAATAAAAAATATAAATAAATAAGTAAATGTATAAAACAAACACACACACACACACAGACATAATCCATGAGTAACATCAAGCATTAGCAATCAAATCTGTATCTTAAATGATGTCAACTCATGGTACTTCTAACCTGAATATTCCCAACAGTATGCTCTTCTTCAAGTTGAGAAACAAAAAATAGTAACAATGACTTAAAGGGAGCAGCAACCAGCCTGAATATTCTAAGCAGTCTAAACCCCACAGAAACACACCCCAGCACACTTACAACTCATTTATGATGATATCAGGAGCCCAGATGGCACTTAGGGGTAGGGAGATCTCTCTAATCTCATCAAACATGCTGGAGTTCCAGGATAAAAACTCATCATCCCAAACCTGTATCCAAAAAGGAAACATCACAAAGTGGCAATGCCAATCTCATCAAAGAACTGAAGAGGGATTCGGATGAATAGCTCAATTGAACAGCCCGTTGGTTCTATCTGTCAGGGAAGAGGACTTTCCATTCAACTCCTAAAGACGGTTGCCCCAACCAGAAACCACAGCCATGTATCTTACTCAGATTCTAATAAATCAGGTCTGCTGCAGACATAAAGAACTAGAAACACAAGATAGTATCTATTTCTTCGAATAATTACATCTTGCAAGAGATCGAGTTCAGGAGTCCAGCATGCACGGAAGAAAACATAATCATTTACCTCATGATACCATACACTTGTCTTTAATTTTTGATTCTGTGCATCCTGCAAAGCAAAAAGAACATACACACCAAATCTTAGAGTGTCAGTAAATCAAAGCCCAGTTCAACAGTATGACAATTCAGAGGAAGAGAATCAAATCCAATGAAATAATGCTGATTTTAGAAACATTACCTTGACTTTTCAATATCTGAGTATTCTCAGTTCTTATTTATTACATACACCTGTCGCTATGAGCTTTACTATATTATCTATGATAAAACGACACACTAACTGCACTTGACATCTTAAATGATTTGTGAATCTCTTTCCTACTCTAATTGTTACCCTGCCATTAATCAGACTAAAAGATGATATGTAGTCGTAGCCAATTTTGGACTAAAAAGATGAGACCACACTTTTATTTGTAATCAAGATGTTATTCATAATCTTTCAATGAGTGTTATCTCAACTGCCATTGGCAGCCATTCCTGTTGTTACCTTATGCTTGGATTTCTCTGCTTATAAAACAGACTGAATGAGCTTAATCCAAGTGAGGTATATTTTTGGTGATATAAATAGATGTGGCTTCCCACGTCAGTGATTTAAAAAAAGGATCTCCCCAAACAAACAAAAAAATCCACTTTACTAATTTTTTTCATATTGAATCTAGTAAAAACATGCTAAAATGATTATATTCTTAGAGATTAAAAGAAAAGGAACATCTCATACCATATACAAGCATTAACTCAAAATGGATCATAAACCAAAATGTAAGAACTAAAACTATAAAACTCTTAGAACAAAACATAGGAGTAAACTTCATGACTTTGAATTAGGCAATAATTTCTTAGATATGACACCACAAGCACAAGCAGCAAAAGAAAAAGTAAATGGGACTTCATCAAAATTTAAAACTTTTGTGTTTGAAAGGACATTTTCAGGAAGTCAAATGACAAACCACAGTATGGGTGAAAATATTTGCAAATCATATACCTAGTAAGGGGCTTGTATCCAGAATATATAAAGAACTCTTACAACTCAACAATAAAAAGATAAATAACCCAATTTAAAAATGAGCATCAAAGGACACAACCAAGGCTTCCCTGATGGCGCAGTGATTGAGAGTCCGCCTGGGGATGCAGGGGACACAGGTTCGTGCCCCGGTCCAGGAAGATCCCACATGCCGCAGAGCGGCTGGGCCCGTGAGCCATGGCCGCTGAGCCTGTGCATCCGGAGCCTGTGCTCCGCAATGGGAGAGGCCACAACAGTGAGAGGCCCGCGTACCGCAAAAAAAAAAAAAAAAGGACACAGTCAACAGAGTGAGAAGGCAACTCATAGAATGGAAGAAAACATTTGTGGATCCTATATCTGATAAAGGGTTATTATCCTGAATATTAAAGAACTTCTACAACTCAAAACAAAACCAATATCCTTATTTAAGAGTGGACAAAAGACTTGAATACACCTTTGTCCAAAGTAGATATACAAATGGCCAATAAATACATGAAAATATGCTCAACATCACAGCTATGGACCAAACTGTGTTCTTCCAAAATTCATATATGACTGTATTTGGAGATAGGACTTTTAGGAGATAATTAAGGTTAAATGAGGTCAAAAGGGTGGGGCTCTCATCCAATAGGATTGGTGACCTTAGAAAGAAAGGAAAAGAGAATGATCTCACTTTCTCCTCCCTGTGAGGACACAGTGAGAAGGCAGCCATCTGCAAGCCAGGAGGAGAGCTCTTACTAGGAACCAAATTGGCTGGAAATTTGATCTTGAACTGCCCAGCCTCCAGAACTGTGAGAAATAAATTTCTGTTGTTTAAGCCACCCAGTCTATGGTATTTGTTACGGCAGTTGGAGCTGGCTGATATAATCTCTAATCATTAGGGAAATATAAACCAAAACCACAATGAAATACCATTTCACTCTCATTAGGATGGCTACTATCTTTTTTTTAAAGCAGAAAATAAGTGTTGGTGAGGATAATTGGAATTCTTGTGCACTATTGTTGGGAATGTAAAATGGTGCAGCTGCTATGGAAAACAGTATGGCAGTTCCTAAAAACTTAAAAATAGAATTACTACATGGTCCAACAATTCCTCTCCTCGGCATTTACCCAAAAGAATTGAAAGCAGGGACTTGGACAGATATTTGTACATCTATGTTCATTATTCACAATAGCCAAGGGGTGGAAGCAACCCAAGTGTCCCTCAGTGGATGAATGGATGAACAACATGTGGTATATATATGCAATGTAATATTATTCAGTCTTTAAAAGGAAGGAAATTCTGACACATGCTACAACATGGATGAACCTTGAAGACACTATGCAAAGTCACAAATAAGCCAGTCACAAAAGGACAAATAGGGCTTCCCTGGTGGCGCAGTGGTTGGAGGTCTGCCTGCCAAGGCAGGGGACACGGGTTCGTGCCCCGGTCCAGGAAGATCCCACATGCCGTGGAGCGGCTGGGCCCGTGAGCCATGGCTGCTGAGCCTGCGCGTCCAGAGCCTGTGCTCCTTAACGGGAGAGGCCACAACAGTGAGAAGCCCACGTACCGAAAAAAAAAAAAAAAATTTATATATATATATCTACCCCCCATCTATATATATATAATCTTTGTGCGTAGGGTCAAGACTACCACTCTCTTCAATCCAGCCTGGGTGGGGGGTAGGGAGGAGCCATTGTCATTTACTTCTTGCGGGGGGTGCACCTGGAATTGTGTAGTGCTCAGACTATACAGGTGTACACAGGATGGCATCATTTGAAAGAGAAACAATAAACTTTTTAAAGTTCCCCCTTTTTGCAATCAAAAAAGCAAGTTGCTATTGAATAAACATTTCTAGATACCTTGAGAAAAAAGGGATTGTGCACAGATACAGAGGGACTCTACTTCAGTGGTTCAGCAAAGGTTAGCTGGAGTGAACTTGCTCTGCAGATTTTTATGAACTTCAAAGAGATACATGAGAAAGGCAGGTTTTAAAATGGTATACAGTTGTCCCTCAGTATCCATGCGGCATTGGCTCCAGAACCCCCTCAGATACCAAAATCTATAGATGCTCAAGACCCTTATGTATAAAATGGAGAAGTATTTGCATGTAACTTACACACATCCTCCAGTATACTTTAAATCATCTCTAGATTACTCATAATACCCAATACAATGAAATGCTACGTAAATAGTTGCTGATGAGTGGCAAATTCAAGTTTTGCTTTTTGGAACTTTCTGGAATTTTTAAAAATAAATTTATTTATTTTATTTATTTATTTTTGGCTGCCTTGGGTCTTTGTTGCTGTGTGCGGGCTTTCTCTAGTTGCAGAGAGCAGGGGCTACTCTTTGTTGTGGTGCGCAGGCTTCTCATTGCGGTGGCTTCTCTTGTTGCGGACCGTGGGCTCTAGGCACGTGCGCTTCAGTAACTGTGGCACATGGGCTCAGTAGTTGTGGCACACGGGCTTAGTTGCTCCGCAGCGTGTGGGATCTTCCAGGACCAGGGATCGAACCCTTGTCCCCTGCATTGGCAGGCGGATTCTTAACCACTGCGCCACCAGGGAAGTCTCTGGAATTTTTTAAAAATATATTTTCGAGGCACAGTTGGTTCAATCTGCAAATACAAAACGGATATGGAGGACTGACTGTACAAAATGTAAACACTGAATTCACAAGTAATTCCCTAAGAAACAGCTTGGAGGAGGTACAGAGAGGACTCCCAGCCAAGATAGGCTCTGAGGGGCTCAGGGCAGTTAAAAAAAGACCTCTACTGAGAGCCCAAGATTGGGTGACACCACTTTCTTCCAAGTTTTACTGGCTGAGAGAGCCTGAAATAGATCATATCTCACCCACTAACACACAAAAGGCACAGTTCTAGGCTTAGCTGCAATCAAAGAGGGCCCCCCCTTAACAATGGAAAAAGTCCAAAATGTTGTTTCTATTACTGAGAAATATAGCTTTTAGCTACTCTTTCATAACAAATATACTTTTACATCTATGAAATGTCCCAACCAGTTTCTTTATCACTGTCATGACAAGTTGTGAATATAACTCGTTGACTCAGTCATGTGGCTGGGGAGGAAGGTCTCTACGTATTAATGTTTCATTTTCACTGTCATTTTACCTAGTTGGTTCTTATTAACTGCCATGTTGATGCCTTCGCTCGTTTTTCTCTTCCTGCCAAGCCCTTTGTCATGTTACACGTAACAATAGTGTTAAGAATTTTTTTCCTAATATCTTATGGGGGTGTCTGGGAAGATTTGTCATTCAGCCCTAAAGAACACAATGTCAAAAAGAAGTTTGAAGCTAAAACTGAAGTCTTTTTTTTGTCAAGGGAAACAAGTTTCTCAATGCCAGCTGGTGAACATAATTGGTTCTCTGGTGGCATTATTCACGCTTTTCCCTCTGTGCATCTCTTTCTTTTTTTTCTTTAGATGCCTTCCATCTTGTTTGTTAAAAGCAAAGGATATTTCAGAGAATTGGAATTCATTAGCCTTCCTAACAGAGGGAGTCTATTTAGATCTAAATTGGTGGTTAGCAAATATACAGATAATTCCTGCACATTCTTATTTATCTTTCCCAGTTCCAAAGACTATAGAAACAGATGCCTCAACGTCTGGCTGGGAGTCTCTAGTCAATGGACTGGAACACAAAGGAATCTTGGATTCAGAATTGACAAAACTCAATAGAAACAAATGGAAACTCATCCCTGTTAGTAGATTATCTCTACAATCAGATTTCCCTAAGGTACACATAATACCCAGAAATTCTAAGACAAGACTGTAGTCTTTCACGTAAACAAAACAGGAGGCAAAACATAATGGAAGGGAGGTGCACTGATGAAAGCTGGGCTGAAAGCTCTTCACTCCAAACAAAAGTTGCCAGCAGTTCAGCTGTTGGTAGATGTATCCAACAAGTTATCTGTTCACATTGGGAGTGTCCTTGTCTGAGCAGAATTTGTGAGTGATTTTTATCAAGTCCTTCAAACCGGCCCTGCCTCTGGAACGAACTTTAGGAGCAGCCCACCCGAATGTAATAGAGACATTTGCAAATTATATTAGACTAAGTCATT